ATTTGGTATAGCAGTGTTCACTGCAGGAGTATTATACTGTACTCATTAAATAAATTATATCTTTAACACTACCCCCCCCCAAAAAACATAACTTTCTCAACTTTCTCGAAGTTACTGCATTAAAAAATCTTTTGCATGAAAGTCATGAACAGCACTTCATCACAGCTCTCCGTCCCATAATGTCTCAATGGGGGATATGCTGCATGTAATTTACATGTAATCCCCGGAACCTTCTCAACATCAGATGAGAAGATTAAAAGGGAGAAACAAGATCTCAGTAGCTACTGTTGCCAAACTCCCCTATGCTCCCACCGTGCGGCCCCTACATATTCAAAAATTAAATCCAAGCTGTCTTGAAAATCATGGCTCTTTAACCATAACCTGTGGAATATCTGGTCTTCTGTTCAATGTCATAAAGCAAAAAATACTCATCTTTCCCAAAACAAGCTTCAGAAAATGCCATGAACGATAGCGATGTTCCTTAAACAGTAACTTTTCTTGCTAAGGAATCTACCACTTCATCAAGGTATCTAGCCAAGAGTAGTAAGTCAGCCCTTCAATTTCTTTGCTTTTTAGAAGACTTCTCTAAATGGCTACCTTTATGCAAGTAATGCCCAGAACAAATACTGATGTCACTTCAAGCAAAATTCAGCTAACAAATGTTATTATTATTAGTGTTGTCTTGGAAGTCCACTTGCACATGGAGGTGAGTGGTGATGATCGCCAAATGTTACTGGACAAGATTTTGATGACAAACCATCATCTCTACAGCAACTGATCACCGGTTAACAGTCATTATATGCTATTATTCAACAAGTAGAACATGTAACAAAGTATATGATCAAAAGGAAACTCGCTGGTCATTTTACACAGAACATCATTTTCCAAGAAGGGTTTGCGCAGGGGAGATGTAAATTAATTTTGGATTTTTGACCGGCAAAATACAAAAATACAATACACGTTGGGCAGGGCAAAAATCCAAAATTAATTAACAGAACATCTTGAAAACAAAATGAAAAAGAGATTGAAAAAGACATGGAACTGACAAATGGAATGGACTCAAAAAAGGTTAGACAGGTGCAACATGAATGTACATGTAGATACTGTATATCATGCAAGGCACCACTCATACTTTTCAGGAATGACAGGTGCTCATAACACCACAGCATACAGATATCTACAAGAACAAAATAATTCAGCTTCCACATACTGGCCAAATCCACCACTATAAAAGAGTGTTCATTTGAATTGCTTCATATATTACTCAACAGCCCCCTGCAATTTGTTCTCCAAGCTGGAAACAGCACTTTTAAAGGAATCTAATATTTAGGAAGAGTAGAAAACAGAATGACGGGAAGAAAATGTAAAAAGAGCAGCAAATTTCCGGCTGGGAAAATCTGTCCAAACTGCATCAGGATATACATGCTAGCAACTTTTAAAACAATGACACGGTGGAGGAGAAATTTATTCTAACTGGTTTTAACAGCATACAGTTCAGTCCATCACACAGCACATCCAACAGTATGTCACAGTCACATTTGGGAGTACACATCATCTTGCCCCCATCCTTATATACCCAACAAGATATGAGACGGAAAAGTACCCCTTTTGTATGTCCAAACCACCTAGATACTCTAGACTACTGTTACATGACACATCTCCACCCCCTCCCCCAAAAAGTCTGAAAAAAATTCTTGGAACACAAAAGGGGAAATGGTTTCTTCAAATGGTTCTGTCATGTAGCTCAAATCCACATTATATTGCCAACACACTGTTTGATGCAACTGCTTCGAAGTCTCTATGTTTTTCACACAAAATAAATTTGAAGCAAACTTTAACAGGTGACAGATATGAAGATTACGTTCCCAAAATTTATGATTTACTATTAAGAAGATGCATTTACATGTACTTTGATCCATACAAAAAGGATCATTGATGTGAAAATAAAAAATGCTTTTCCTATTGTCTTCATATTCCATTTCATTTTATATTTCATTTGTATGAATTCTCATTCCTAAGAAAATTCTTCACATTGAAATACATGTAACTACAGTACATGTACATGTAATTTCGTAACAGCTGTAACTGTGCAAAGAGATTAATGTGTGAAGCATTCAGAAGAAAGCATACCAATTAGCTTTAACCATTTGCTGCAGGGGGGATTTTTCTTGAGCAAGACAAGATGCCGGGTCCTTTTCAATATTTTCCATTTTCAAAATTCTTCAAAAATTCATCATTTCAGTTAATGGTCGTTTATACCAAAATGATGGACTCTTTGGCCACTACTCTAAAGCTGACAGGTAAAACTCATTGACTCCAGGTGGTAATCCGCTCGCTCTAAATGCCTCAAACCGTGATATACTGTTTCAAAACAGGGCTGGATTATCTCCACTATTGAGAGCAAACAAATCATGGCAATGCCCAGTAGCTCAGTTTTTTGTGCTGAGCACAGTCTTTTGTTATAAGGCCCAACTCTTTTGTCCCAGTTCCAGGCTCCCTGGCTCTGCATATAAAGCGTATGTACTCGAAAACAGGTCGCCCGGCAGGGAGTGGTTAACAACAAGCCCTCCCCTTTGAACAGTGCCACTCACAACATTTCAATGTGGAATGAACACCATGTGTAACTGTTAACATACTAAGGTCATACATCAAGTCTTTGCATACAAAACATTTTCTTTGGGTCCTTGCATGTAAGGAAAATTGTGAATCAAATGTGGCCACTGAATTGCCTGACACCGACCAACATACAAATTAATGGCATAATACTTAATGTATGAGCAAAATAAGCAAGTGGAGCAAAGGATATGAATAAATTATTATTCACAAATACTTTAGAGAGTATCCCTATTAAACGTGCAACATG